GGGCGTGAAGACTGGATGCACAAAAGGTAATGGCGATGGAATGGGATGCGCACCAATGCCTTGGCTTTGGGATGTGGATGTGGCTTGCAGCTGCTCTAGCCAAGCCTGGGCGACTGCATCGGCAACATCGACGCCATCGACTATCGCTTCAAGACGTTGTGTCGTGATGGTGCTACGCCCGGGTGAGCAGATACAAGTGCCAGTGAGGGACTCATGACCAAAGCAACCAGGTAACCCCTGCTTCCTGGTTTCTCGGCCACAGGAAAGATGGGCAGGCAACGTACCAAACCTCGGGCAAGATGGGCCCAACCATTCCAACATGCCCACCCTCGTAGGCCACGAGGCAAGTCATGGGGCCCAGGCCTGGGCCATTACCAAAGATCACATCGACGGGCTGTCGCTCACTGTAATTTCAGAGGAAGCAATGAGAACACGGGCACGGGCCAGGGCGAGCCAACGCGATGATGGGAGGACCGTACGGGGCGCAAAATTGGGCGGCGACGCGAATTTGAGTCTGCTTGCGAGCATTTGTAGCGCTGAGGGACCAAAGGGTCAGAAGATGATTATCCCCCAGAACAAGAAGATGACTGTCAGACAGAGGATGCCATCGAGCCTGAATCACGCCACACGCGGCCTCTGCTCCAGCCACGACAAGACAGCTGTGCCGGGCGGAGATGAGATGAGTGGGCACCATGTGATGAGCAAGAACGATGGGGAGTGAGAACGATGGGGAGTGAGAACGATTGAGAGCTTGGCCCAGGGGTGAGGCCCAGACAGGAGCTGACTTTACAACTTGAAAAAGGCCTTCAGGGGCTCGTGCCAAGTCGCCAACGTTGATGGTGCTAAATGGTGATGAACAAACAAACCAAGCCGCGGTTATTGGGATGGGAACGAGCCGGGCACTGGTCTGCAGACCAATGCTGGCCTGCATTTTCACAAAGGCTGGGCGGCGGGCAAGATAAACGGCGTAAGCAGCAAAGGAGTGCGCGGACTGACTGGATATGATGGCGTGAGATGAGTGCCATGGCTTCACCTGTGTGGGCGTGGGTTCAGAAGACAAGGCGTGAGCTTGGTTGGTGCAACCCCCATAGGCGGGGCAGGCGGATGAGCAGACTGACCGTTTGGGCTAACGCGCAGCGCACGCACGGGGCCCTGCAGACCTTGGACAGTCACCGTGGCTGGTCGCTAGAGTGTAGTAGTACCATGCCATAGAGACGGAAATAAATGTTGAGTTGAAGCGCATTTAGCAATGCCCCCTCCCCCGCTTGCCCGGTTGAACAGGGGTGCTAGCCGGCTCACCTCACGAATGCCATCATGCAGGATGCTCAGAGTCTGCGAACAGTCGTTCCAAAGAAACAAGGCGCCATTGAAGCTCACAGCAAGCTCCAACGGGATGTCTTCCATCTCTGATTCATTCAACGCTGACTCCATCACCACGCAGTCCAGCTCGCCACCGTCACCGCCAGCACTGCCGCTGCCGGAAGCACAGCAGCGCTGCACCACTGCTTGCAAGTCCATCGCTTTCGGTCGCGGGAGGCGAAAACAGTGACTGATTTCTTTTTTTTCTCTTTTTCGATTTTCTTCGCTTGCAAGCGCTTTCAAGTCTCGCCCAAGTCGGCGGGGGTCAAAATGTATGGACTACTTTGAGGCTAGGCGTGTGAGATGAATAACGATGGCTGGCTTGTTGCGTGTGGCACGGTCGAGCTCAGTCAGGAAGGGTGCGGAGCGACAGCAAGTGGCAGCCAGGCGCAAAAGCAAACATCGGCACCCGCGGCAGTGGGCCCGTAGTGGGGCACGCCAATACGCCAACAGGCCGAGGGAGCCGAGGCACACGGTCAAGCTTCAGTGTGGCTGGGATCTGAGGGACGTGTTTGATGATGAGTGTCACTTGAGTAGTCGTTGCTTAGGCGTTTTTGTGTGTGAAGATGGCTGGGGGCCCCAGGCAAGGCGTCGAAGGAAGGATGGAGCGAATCAAGGCTCAAGGGCAACCCAAAAGGGCCTGGCGGGACGCGCGGGGCTTGTGACATGCACAGGGGCAATGATCTAGATGGGATGACCAAGGGCTGCTCGGCTCGATGGAGGCCTTGTTGGGAGCGCGGACGAATTTGGACTGAAATCCCGCAGGGCTGGAATATTGCGCCATCTGCATCCTCTCATACGACGTCACTCGACAAAGATGTCGCCCAGTGGTCAATAACAGCAGCACTGCCAGCCGTGCCGACAGCCCGTACAACCATGCTACATTTCCGGCCCCCTTCCCGTCCCCCGTCCCCTGCTACCATCCCCGTCCCCGTTTCCGGCCCATTGTGAACAGATTTATCTTCATCAAACATTCCTTTTTCTTTTTTTCTTTTTTTCTTTTTTCTACGCAAGCTGTCTTGGTCCCTTTGGTTCTCTCTCTCTCTCTCTCCCTCTTTTATCTTTTATCTTTTGTTCTCTTTTGTTCTCTTTTGTTCTCTCTCTGTCTCTGTCTCTGTCTCTCTCTCTCTCTCTCTCTCTCTCTCTCTCTCTCTCTCTGTCTCTCTCTCTCTCATTTCTTTTTCCAATACATTTTGTGTGTGTGTGTGCCTTTTTGAAAGGGCATCGATCCTCAGTTTGGCAGACGCCTTTTTCCTCTGCTACGCTGCATCTTTCTTTGTGGCAGTGGTGGCTGACCTTTGGTCCCACCTGACCTCTCCGCTTGCTCTTTGGCCCGGTTTTTCGAGGTGTGGCCGAATCAAAGACGCCCAAAGTCTCGACGTCTGCCGCCATCATCCTGCGAGCGAGCAAGACGTGCTCTTGACCCCGCGGGCCGTTCAACCCAGCGCGACGAGGACAGAAGACATCTTCCTCTTGACTGTTGGCATCGATCTTTGACTTTTGCGTGTGCGCCCGTGCATGCCACCCCTCTTGGGTATTTGTCAACGAAGACCCGCCAACGTGCCCGACCAACACACGTCGTCCGCAACACACGTCGTCCGAAACTTGCCGTCCGGGACATTCGACATCTGCAAAACCTTCTCTCGCGTTTTCATCCGTCAAATTCTGCTGGCATCATGTCGGACAGTCGTCTGCGTACCACATCCTTTGCCACCGAGCAAAATGGTGGCCCGGATGAAGTCCCGACCGCGCTCACCGGTGTATCGGTTCAACAAACACCACACGGCCGGGTTTGTTCTTGGCGCCGTTGCATGAGTCTTGTCTTTTGGCCTTGTGGGCACACCGAGCAGCCAAGTCCCTGGCAGCACGCGCCAGCTCCTCCCACTTACGCCGTCTTGGCTGTCATCGCCCTGTTGTAGGTGACCAAGGTCGTGGCCACCCGAGGCGGCTCGGACTCTGTGACCGAGGAAATCAGCTACAGCGACACGAACATTATCGGCAAGGGCTCATTTGGTGTCGTTTTTTCGGTGCGTTGTCCCACGTTCCTCGACCTCGGCCCTGCGTGCCAACCAGGACACGCCTCCCTCCAGATGCACACACCTCTGTCAGCGCACCATTGATATCAGCCTTTTAATTTCCATGTGCCATACCAGGTGTACCTGCACACCTCTGAATGTAAGGTGGCCATCAAGAAAGTGCTCCAGGACCGTCGGTACAAGGTGTGTGTTTTTATTCGCATGTGATATTGTGCGCCCGCTCTGACCCCTTCTCACCTGGCACTCATTTCAATGCCTATTCAGAACCGTGAGCTTCAGATCATGCGCTCGCTCAATCACCCCAATATCACCGCCCTGCACTATTTTTTCTACTCAAGCGGGTCAAAGGTGCGCTTTCTTCCGTCATTGTCAACCAGACTTTGAAGCACACAGGGCACCGATTGCCTGGGTGTGTTCTTCTCCCTCCCATTCACGCATTCGCGGCTATGTCCTTTGCATTTGCATCGACTCTTGCAGAAGGACGAGATCTACCTGAATCTGGTCGTCGAGTTTGTCCCAGAGAGCCTCTATCACGTGCTCAAGCGCCGCACACGCGCCAACGAAGCCCTACCCATGCTGCTCGTCCAGGTCCGTGTGGTCTTCCCTTTCCTCCTTTTCATGCCAAAGTCACACCCGAGTCGACAGGGCCTGCTCTCATTTCAGTGCACACGTTGCGTAGATGCTGTCTTTCCAAATGTTCCGTGCCCTCGGCTTCTTGCACGCCAAGGGCATCTGCCATCGCGACATCAAACCGCACAACTTGCTCGTGGATGAAGCTCGTGGCATCCTCAAGCTCTGTGACTTTGGCAGGTTGGTCACCCGCCAGCTCGCCTTCATGTGCGCATGCAAACCACCTGTGGCTCACCGAGTTTGCCTTTGCTTTCTTTGATCATTTGTGTTCTTCTTATTTTCGTTATTGTTTCCTTCTCCTCCACCTTAGCGCAAAGGTCCTGGTTGAAGGCGAGCCCAATGTGGCCTACATTTGTTCCCGCTACTATCGCGCCCCCGAACTCATCTTTGGCGCCAGCAACTACTCTACCAAGATTGGTTTGTCATCTGTTTGCCTCTGCCGTGCGCCTGTACTTCCGTCCCGGCTCTCACTCGCTTTGATTCGGTCAACTTGTGCAAAAATAGATTGTTGGTCTGCTGGCTGTGTACTCGCTGAATTGCTGCTGGGACAGCCGCTCTTCCCAGGAGAAAGTGGTGTGGATCAACTCGTCGAAATCATCAAGGTCCTGGGCACCCCGACCAAGGATCAAATTCGCGCCATGAACCCCGAGTACCAAACCTTTCGCTTTCCGCAAATTCGAGCACAGCAGTGGTCCGACCTCCTGCCAGCCCATGCACCAGAGTCTCTGGCCTCTCTATGCACGCTTCTGCTGGCCTACCAGCCCTCGGACCGCTTGAGCATGTGGGATGCCATGGCACACCCCTTCTTTGAAGACTTGCGTCAACCCAATGCCGCCCTCAACGGCCAGAGCGTGGCTTCCCTCTTTGATTTCAACCAAGAAGGTCAGCAAATTCTGCCTCTTCTTTATCTCGGCCGCCTCAAGGGCTCCCTGCCCCTGTTCTTGTCACGAGTCCACGCTCATCTTTTGTTTGCTTTTCTTGTTTCTCGTTCAATTCTTATTCCCCCCCCCCTTGACGCTCTGACAGAGTTTGAGCTGCTGCCGCACGTATACGAGAATCTGATCCCCAGCCACCTTCAGGGTTGAGATGCGTGACTACCAAGACTGTCGGGCATTGTGCCTCAGTCTCGTCTGACTACTAGCTAGCCCGTTTTTAGGACGGCAGTGTTTAGGCCTTTGTCTTTTTTCTTAAAGTGGTCGTCTCTAGCGCGTGCCACCCCACATGTGCTGTATTTGTGCTAGTCTCCATCTTTTTTCTCTTCTTGCCCGCCTTGCCTTTTCTTGTCCTTCTCTTCGCTCTGCCTTTTCTTACCGCCCAGCGCCCATCCGTGGGCACTTTGTTGCCCCCACTTCCACTTGTCTCGTATTTTGATGCCATCTGTTGGCACCAGCCTGACAACCAGTTACTTTTTTCTCTCCATGTGTGGGATTGTTTTTTGTTTCTTTTTTTTTTTTTCCACTTTTGGTTTTGTCTCTTGCTCCTTTCGGTTCTCGGATATGTGTTCTCTTTGTTTGCGTGGACGGAAAATCGCGCTGGGCTTGGATTCCCGGCTTTCTGATGCACGCGTGCGCTGTTGGACTGTGCTCTCTTTCGTTTCCTCTTGATGTTTATATCTGTTTGTGTTTCCTTCGCTTTCAGTTTGTTTTTTAGTTTCGTGGCCAACTTGTGCCCTCTTGATCCCGCGGTTCTGGGATGCTGAGAAACAACAAAAATCCAGACCACAAAACATTATTCGAGCAACGTAACAGGTAGTCAACAGTGCGCCTGATCATTGGTGTCGTCCACTAAAGCCTTGAATGGAGTTGCCGCAAGATATTGATTAAGGAACTGAAGCGACACGGTGCAAAGCACAAAGGCGGACACGGTCCGGGAGGACGGGTAAGAGTTGAGGGACTCGTGTGGTTCGTCTAATGGCGTCTTGAAAGCATTATGCGATGACAGGGGCCCATTCGTGCTCAACAGCACCATACTGCAGGGGTTGGCCGCAAAGGTGGCCAAGGAAAGGGAATGAAGGGACAGACAGAGTCAACAAGTGAGCACATGAAACGAGATTCAAAACGGATGATGGCAACTGCTTGGATAGCAGCCAAATGGGTTACAAGGAGTGCGGCAACAGAGAAGTATTTAAACCGACCTGGATATCAAAGATATCAGTCCAGATGCGGTTGGTCAGCTCTCCGCTGTTGCCCAGGGCCAGGGGCACGTTGAGGTCCTCGCCCAAGTATTTGATCTGACCAATGGGGCAGACAGTGGCGGCGGTACCAGCACCAAACATTTCGTAGACGCGGCCCTCCTTCAACGCGCGAGACACCTGACCCATGTTGAACTTGCGCTCGGACACCTTGAACTCGTTCCAGCCACGTGCCATGTCCACAATGGATTGACGTGTGACGCCAGGAAGGATCGTACCTGCGTTTCGCGAAGCGGGAGTGCGAGACACAGTTATTGTCACCGTGTTGGTTCGTGTGACATGCCAGGGAGATGTGCCCCGCACGCAGTTCTTTGCAAACGTACCGTCCAAAGGAGGGGTGATCAGTTCGTCCTCGCCCTGCTCGTTCTTCCAGTACATAAAGAGGTTCATGGTCCCCACCTCGGTGACCTCGTGGTCTTCACCAAAGAGCCACAGGACCTGCTGGCAGCCTTGCGCTGTGGGCCGGGCAGGCATGAGAGCACAAAGATGCATCAACGACAAGGCTGGTCACGCGTCTGGCACAGGACCTACCCTGGGCCTGGGACTGAGGATAGATGCTAGGGGCATAGTTGCAGCCACCCTTGGTATTTCCGACACCACCGGGCCAAGCACGGACGTAGGCCGGATCGGCCAGCAGTGAAACAGGCTTAAAGCCGGTGGAGTAGTAGGCGCCGCTGGGGCTGTTGATGCAGAACAAAAGCGAGGAGCTTGACTTGCCGACGCCCAGATACTCGGCAGTGCCAATGTGGGTTGGGCGCAGGTACAGCGAGTAGCCGCGACCTACAAGCCAAGGTCAGGGGTCAACATAAATGCACGGGGAAACACACGATGAATGTGTGTGTGTGTGTGTGTGTGTGTGTGTGTGTGTGTGTGTGTGTGTGTGTGTGTGGGTGTGTGTGATCGGAGGAGGGCGGGAAGATGAAACGTGCCCGCGGGAATCCAGTCCTTGTCCTTGATGACGAGCTCGGTGATGCACTTGAGCAGTTCATCTTGGTCAAAGTCCTGATTGCGATGAAGAAACGATGAGATGAAGGCCGATTTGATAGCAGGTACAGGCAAGGGGTAAACAAGGGGAGCAAGAGAAAAGTGCTCGTACCGGAAGCGCAAGGCGGACGGAAGAACGGTGCAGGCGGTCCATGTTCAAATTGGGGCGGAACAGGCGAATCTGGGTAATGCGGATCCATCACGCGCCGCCGCGATTGGGACCAGCCAACCACGACAGGCAGAGAAAAGGAAATTGTCAGAAACGGATAGAAGCAGGAGATGGGCGGTGTAGCTCAGAGC